TCTCTTCTTGCTGAAGCTTCCAATACTCTACGCTGACACTAGAGTCTGGGTGGTAATTTTGGTTCAGCACCTACTACGGATCCCGTTTTTGGGGACGTCGGACTGGGGCCGTCTCACTTTTACTGATCGGAAATCAGTAAATCTGTCCACTGCTGTGAACAACCCTCCAGCTTTAACCACTACTTGAGCAACTCGTCCTTTCGGGAGCACCTCCAGATGCCTTGAAAAGGATTTTCAGTGGAATCAAAGGTAAGATGGCGAATCTATTAGCCAACTGTTTTTATCCCGCCCTGAAAGTTTTAATTCCGGTGGAAACTCGTTTATCTTGGGAAGTTTTATGATATCAAAGCCAGTATGGGCAGCTGATTTCTGTTCAAGACTTGTAGTATGAAGAGGAAGATGGAGTAGCAATGAAAGGGAGTAATCGATTGAAAATTGTAGGAGCTTCCAAACTGTTTGGTGCCAATTATCAGCCAGACACACCGGACATCCAGCAGATGGAGTTCGCCTACCCGCTTCTGGAGACTTCCTAAAGGAAGCAACAACTACTTGAAGTGATACTGACGCTGTGGCCATGGGATAAGGCCAGATTATCAACCTAATGTAGGATAATGTCACTTGGGTCCTGCGATCGACCAAAACCCGCTAAACATCATGAAGTGGCTAAACTGTGTGAAAAAATCGGTGATCGGGAGGTTGAGTGGAATGCTGTCACACCCAGACTGTCATATCGCTGGTGGAGACGATTAGAGGTTCCCAGGCATCAGTGATTCCACGACTGTATTTTCATGAATTGATGAGCTAATGGCTACCATAGAAGTGCCGTATCGTCTGACTTTGTTACAGGAAGACACCTCGTGAAGATGAAACAACCTTTATCGGTGACTCCGTGGGCCTGGAGGAGGCGTTCCCTATTAACTGACAGCAACCTGAGGTTGCTGAGGTGAAGTATCAAGATATTTGTCTTAGAAAAATGACTCTTTAGTTGCAACCACACTGCAGAGGAGGACGTCATGGCTAAGCGAGGCACTGTACACCTCTTGCGAGGTGTGAGGAGAACACGGAGCAACTGTAGGCCCTCTGGAAAGATTCCAGATGATAACATGTTTATGACTGCAGAGATTCGACATAACATCAAGATGTTAGAGATAGGAGGCCGGTCAAGAAAGACCCTGCCCAGAGGCTTGGGACTAACCCCAAGAACCAGTGCCCAATTTTGGCGGAAATAAAACCCACGAGCTACAGGTTATATTTTATGCAAGACCCCGGCAGTGAGCACCCCTCTGGACTGGTAATCCAAGGAACTCTCAGCGCTGTTTTGACTTAGTCCACAGTCGGTTCGCTCAGCCACGGCCAACAACAGCCTGAACAACCTTCGACCTTATCAAGTGTAGAGGGGAAACAGATTACGAATTGCCCGGGTATGATTTTTGAAATGCTATCAGAGCCCAGCGCAAAAACTTCCGAAGACTTGTTGACATGTACCATTCTGTGTTGAGACAGTGCGAACAAGTCAGGGGATGAACGCCACAACCTCTTTTTGTGCGTTTTGGACAGATGCAGGCTCCTGCGAGAATGGAAACATGCTTTCTTCCACCCCACATTCAGAGCAGCAGACGGTCATAACCTGAACTTCTTCAGATCTATGATACTTCTGCAAGTCACGTGAAAAGTGATCCAGAACTCCATAACCTACGGCACTGGGAAATACTCAGATTAAAGGGGAGCACTCTGCAATTCATAATATGGTCCTCGAAAGTGTGTATCCCACACCCCTGAATTCTAAGTCTGCGACAAGTGGGCAGCATACTGAGACCACCAGAACCTTGTTCGTAAGACCATCCTTGAACTTGTTGAGGACTTGGAGGCAGTTCCATACCCACCCCTTTCAAGTGAAATCAGGTGATATTCTAGCTACTTCGACTGCGAAGAATTCTGCACAAACGTCAACAGGGCTTTTCGGTTTTGGGTAGCATACTCGTTTTACATCTTACGAAAGCCGATTCTGGGCCCCAGTCGTGCATAATTTCTGTGGATGAAACTGCACTAGCCCAACGATTGTATAGCACGTCTACAACGTTCAGTTATGAAAAGTTGCAGACTCGAACACGCCGGAAAATAACTTTAGAACACTTCAAATGTAGGTGGAAACTGACGGACTAGCGTTAAGCCCAGATAAACTTCTGGCAATCTTTTTCCACACCCTAGATTCACGATATCTTTCCTACCACCACTGTGACGTACGCTTTTCTCAAGCAGCCACAAAGAAGTTCATTTGTTCAATATTCACTTACAAACTACGCGCCAGTTCACATCATCCGAGGTTGCCTCAGTAACCTGCCCTGGGCTGCAGTTCATGATTAATCAGGGGTCACAGCATTGGCGCACCGTGGCACCTGAAAACGGGTCCGAACTTTCTGGAGAATGCCCTGAGGAGAGATAAAAAATGGTTCGCAGATTCAGAAAAAATCGTGTGGTGTTGCAGTAACTAATCTAGCCCTCTGCACAATTGATAACCGCAGGACGCTTGACGACTTGATGAAAGCCAACTAGGTGCTGTACGATCCAGGTCAACTAAACGGAGGAATGATGCCCGTGAGTCACCATGGCAATCCTAGTCGAAATGCAAACATCACCGCCCATCATGAGGGAGAACTCGTGTGCAACCACACTTGTTTCCGCTTCAAGCTGGCAAACGCTCGAACGCATCAACAGCTGAGGTAACCACCACCCCATTCATCGACAGACTCGAGAAACGCCTTGACAACTACTCACTAACACAGAATGTAATCCTTTCGTATGGACATGGACCAGACCTAAGCAAATGGCTGATGTCACACCAGTCTGAAAACCGCTCCGCCTTCCTGTCCATTCTTTTTCGAGGCAACTATTGTAATGGACTCTACTCAGCTTTCACATCTCTATTAGAGACCTTACCCTTTTGGTTACTATTGTCAGCATTACTCTTATTTCCACTGCCCTGCTAAGTTCCTCCCTTCTCGCTTCTATATCTTTCGCTCTCCGTAGTTTAGCCAGATTCATTAACCGCGCGTTATCACCATTTTCCTTGGCATCTTCGCTAGATCTACCAAGAGCTTTACTTCCACTTGGCATTTTTTCAGTCTCCCCCATCTCCACATTGTCCTTTCGGCTATCCCCTAAATCGCACTTGTATCTGATGATGCCACCCTTATCGGTCTCATCTTTGTCATTATGTCAAGACAGATCATCCACCCTCCACTAATCTAACAAAATTTAATAAATTCCGTTCAGCAGGCCTACATCAGGCAAGCGACCAGACCTACTGCACTGGAATCCACCTAGAGCCTGTAAACATTCTCCAAGATCTGAAGACAAGCGCGAATAAATCAGATAGTTTTTATACAGAACCGGGCATCACTGAACCACCCACGTCATGGTTTACAGCATAAATAAATAAATAAATAAACATCGTTATTCTCAAGTTATGTCTTGAAGGTGGACATTTCGGCACACGTGTGAGCAGATTACTATCAGGCTGTAGATAAGCAAGAACAGAAATTTATCATGTGGTGATCCTTGGGCCACTTCTGTTTTTACCACTTGCCAATGATCCGCTTGACTAAATCATCTCGTCTGCTCTTCTACTTGCCGGCGGCATCGGAACAAGGAAAATAAGAGGCGGGGAAGTAGACCCTAGGATAGACCATGACCATCTGCTGCGGCTGGGGTCCTGGTCAGATGGCAGTGGTTCAATCCTTAACCTGGAGAACCGCAAAGAGATGTAGTTCCCCACACCTGAGGCTATTTAAACCACTCAAACCTATAACAAATGCGCGCTCACTAGGGCGTCCACAGGAAACGACCTAGGACTAAACTTTTCTGGCACACTGGATACTAATGCCAACCATAGGGAAGTGGCGGCAAGCGCCAACGCTGCCACGCACTTTCTGGGAAGCCAGTTTGAAGCTTTAATTCCGGACATATCCCTCAGTGCGGTCAAAATTCATGTTTGACCACGCCTAAAGGTATTACAAACGATAGCCTCTATTCTATAAAAAGGAGACGGAGTGCTTTCGAGGAGGTACAGGGGAGACGATGACAAGATTGATATTGAACTAATGGGCGAAGCATATGCGCAATACGTTATACAATTCAGTTTGCTCACCTCGAGGTACCAAGAGAAAAAGGGCCAGCCAATAATGGCCCACAAGATCATTCACTAAGTCATCCACCCAAATAAGTCAGTAATTTTGCCCCCAAACTGATGGTCTTGCGGGAAAACCACTCACATACTCCACCGCAGGGTAGGGATGAGGGTGAAATAATACTTCTCACATCGGGTGTGTGGCTAATGGAACCCTTCACCGAGGGAAGTAGCCACAGCTACATTTGCCGACTCTTTCGAAAGACTACTGGATAAGTAGGTGAGCACAAATGGCTTGCCACGAACATTCGTCGGCTGTAATTGAAGGTATCCTCATCAGCTTCTGTAAACCCAGCTCCAGTATCCGCAATAAGATACATCCCTTTGTCATATCATTTCTATCAACAGTTATTTCTCCATAAGTACTTGTTACTCCTCTCTTTCCCATTCCTCACCCGCCCTATTTCTACCAATTTTTTAGTAATGCTAAGTACTTACTTTCAGTTATTTTGCAAAAGCAGGAACTGTAAGATGTAAACCAATGGTATCAGCAACACCAACGCTCCTTCAAACAAGGGACCTGCAATTCGGAAAAGAAAACCTTCGAATAGAAACCATAGGTAGTTAAACAGTAAAAACTTCTTCGATTACAGGAGTGTAGCCAGACGAAAAAGATACAGCCTCAGGACCTAACAGCGAGAGCCCAGAAGCTGAAAGTTTCCGCTTTTCCCATTAGTGCATTAGATTATGTTGGATACTAAATATTCTTGAATTTCGAATCTTCACTATAACAACGCTTAAGTGACTTTTCAAATCAGGTATAAGTAAGCATATGGAATTTTCAACTTCTCAAATATATTATAAAGAAATATCAAAACCATTGATAAGTACTTATTTTGAAGTGTGATACCTTTGATTCAGCTTAAATGGTTACCTTTCAGTACTTAAAAGGACAACAGGACTGAGTGAATATATTTACTGAAACCTCCAGTCTCTAGTTATCATAGATTTATATACATATATGTACGCATATATATAATTTTACGTATAAAAATGATTTATTTGGGTGGACGAATGTTGAATAAAGCAGTAGGATAAGAACTATTGGGGACAATTCTAGTATTCTGTAGCCTTCCAGCCAGCAATTTTGTCGGGCCAAATAGGGCACTCTTTGGGCAAACAAACGACCAAAATCTGCCTGTCTAGTCAATCACAGTAAATGTTGAGCCCAGTATTGAACGACAAGTCTGATGTTAGGCCTTGTTAAGTGCACACAGGGCCAAACGTTAAGCCACTGCTTTTGTCAGGCCAAATGGGTAATTTGTAGAAATGTAGGGCCAGACGTAAGGCCAAGTATGCCAAAAGTGGGTCCAAATACGTAAAGCCATAAGCAGAGGATATGTTGCAAGACCCTATGCATGGTCCGACAAAAATAATGGCTGTGCTTTCTAAACTTTATTTCTATTTCCATTCACTATTACTTTGACCTTCTTATTTCTGTTTTAGTTTTCTGTGATTGGTTAGTTGTGATCTCAGTTCGGAATATACAGGTGATCGAAATCACACATTAAATGCAGTTTCACTTCACGCTATCACTAGTAATCTTTCAGGAAGAATATTTCATAAACTGAAAATAAACCGTTTGATCCATACAAAAGCTAAGTTCAGAAGAGATATGGGTGGATTAGAACGTACTTACCTTGCAAAAATAACAGTAACCCAAAGCGCAACTGTGCATGACACCCTAGTAAAGTTTACTTGAGAATTCAATTCGTAATTTATAGCAGTATGTCACCTATCTGTTTTAAATTCTATCTATTATCCAAGTAATCAAGTAAACAACCATAGAAAGCAACTAAAAACTTTACCACATTGACAAAATATACGACCTGTACATTTTAATATATTGTGAAGGTGCTTATACTTCCATTCACAGCTAACATAAACACTGGATGACTTCATAAATCTTTACAGTTTTGATCAAGTTGCTACTAACCTTATGGGACCTACTTCTCACTAAGCCTGAAGTGTATTACATGCCTTAATATTTTCAATGAGTATAGCTTAACAACTTAATACAGTCACCTATTCCTCTTGTGGGTTTAACATTTGTTCAATGTTCCTCTTTTTATATGAGTAAGATTCTAAGGAAACTATTGACTCAGTATTCATAATTTCTTATTTCATTCATCTTCAAAATCATAATTGTTATAAATTGGATTACTGTGCATTACATTGTCTTTTAGTAAACACCTAAAAAAAATTTGTAGGCATCATCATGAATTTTAACTAACTGAATTATTTCCACTCATTTTTCGATTTCTTAGACTGTCAGTTAGTTAGAATTAGTAAAATCTCATAAAAAAAATAAGTAAAGTGATGGAAACATTAAATTCTTTCATTGCCTACTGTTAAACAAAGTTTTGATGCTTAAAATTCTAGGATCATGATATTCATTATCTCAATTTATCAATCTTAGAATAATATAACCTCATTCTATTAATTATTATGTATCAGAAAATGGCTAATGTTTTGTACTGTTTCATTTTTGACTACTTTTAAACATTTGTTGAGATCAACACAAAGATTAAATGTTCCTATTCTGATCTTCATCTGACCACATATTTAGGATTATCGTTAGCCGTACGTCTAGCGTATATATATCTATATCTATATATCTATATCTATATCTATGTCTATATCTATATCTATGTCTATATCTATATCTAAGTCTATATCTATATCTATATCCATATATATATATATATATATATATATATATATATATATATATATATATATATATATATACAGCTGAGGATTTAACCTCTTGTTCCAAATAACCTACGAAGCCTTTAACGGTTGAAATCGATAAATCTTTACTGCTTAATATGAAGCAGGAGGGGAAATGAAGTTTTATATTTCACTTTTTAAAAGTGAGTTTGGGGGCGAAATTACTGACTTATTTGGGTGGTTGACTTAGTGAATGATCTTGTAGGCCATTATTGGCTGGCCCTTTTTCTCTTAGTACCTTGAGGTGAGCAAACTGAATTATATGTTATATTATAGGTTAAGGATTGAACCACTGCCAACCGACAAGGACTCCAGCCGCAGCAGATGGTCATGGTCTATCCTAGGGTCTACTTCCCCGCCTCTTATTTTCCTTGTTCCGATGCCGCCGGCAAGTAGAAGAGCAGACGAGATGATTTAGTCAAGCGGATCATTGGCAAGTGGTAAAAACAGAAGTGGCCCAAGGATCACCACATGATAAATTTCTGTTCTTGCTTATCTACAGCCTGATAGTAATCTGCTCACACGTGTGCCGAAATGTCCACCTTCAAGACATAACTTGAGAATAACGATGTTTATTTATTTATTTATTTATGCTGTAAACCATGACGTGGGTGGTTCAGTGATGCCCGGTTCTGTATAAAAACTATCTGATTTATTCGCGCTTGTCTTCAGATCTTGGAGAATGTTTACAGGCTCTAGGTGGATTCCAGTGCAGTAGGTCTGGTCGCTTGCCTGATGTAGGCCTGCTGAACGGAATTTATTAAATTTTGTTAGATTAGTGGAGGGTGGATGATCTGTCTTGACATAATGACAAAGATGAGACCGATAAGGGTGGCATCATCAGATACAAGTGCGATTTAGGGGATAGCCGAAAGGACAATGTGGAGATGGGGGAGACTGAAAAAATGCCAAGTGGAAGTAAAGCTCTTGGTAGATCTAGCGAAGATACCGAGGAAAATGGTGAGAGAACCACTGAAAACTTGGGAGTATTGGATAGTCATTTCGTCCTAGAATGGAACTCTTCAGCAATACGAATCTACGACCCTTCAGGTTTGACGGCTAATGCATTAACCATCCATCCAGTGAGTTATAGTTCAATGGTTCACAGTTTGGTAACTCCTAACTATCCATGATATAACTCGACTATCATCCAACCAAGAAGAGCACCAACAAGAAGTAGCAATCAGCATCAACGGGAGAAGTCTAAAGGAACTGGTCTCTTTCACCCACCTAGACAACGCAACATCGTTTCAGCTACAGGTGGTACAGACGAGGATTTCAAATCCAACCGAGATCGGAAAGACAGCAAGATAGGCGTTCATTAACCTGTAACCAGTGTGGAGATCTTCTGTACTCAGGATAAAGCGTGAACAAGATTCAGATTTTCAACACCAATGCAATTCAAGTTAGTGTTGCTATATGATGGTTTAGAAACTTGGCGTGTCACGAAATACACTTCCAACAGACTATAGACATTCATCAACACCTACCGCCTACGCTTACTCGATACTGAAGATCAGATGGTCAGAAAGAATAAGCTACAAGGAACTTACTCTAGGAAAGAATCAAGTAAGAACCTATTTCTTAACAGATATGAAGTGAAGAAAAGTGGATATGGATTGGGTATACATTGAGAAGGCCAATTGGGAACATCAAATGGCAGGCCAGGCCCTAGTGTAGAAAAGAAATAAGAAAGGATGAGTTAAACTTCCTTAGTGAAGGTGACATGGAGAAGATCATTTGAGGAAGGAATAAAAGCTTGTGAGCAGCCATGGTATCAGATTGAAAAGACTTTAGAGAAGAGAGTGAAAAATGAAGTTTATGAAGTGTTTTCTTCTAAAACAAAAATAGATACTAAATTAACCCTTTTAACTGAACATTTGATTTTCAACTTTTCCTATAGTTTTCAATTAAACCATATTTTGAAAAATTATAATAATTTTTTACTCCTGTTTTCAATCTTTTTTTTTCCAGAGATTATAATCTTATAGTATCGATCTATATCATTGTCATCCTTTTACCTTTAGCCTAATCACACACACACACATACATAAATGGTTCAGGTAATTTATATTATAAAATCCTTTATACCTATATGAATAGATTTCACAAATTGAAGCATATTTATCCTTTAAAGAAAAAGCTGAAATTTATCATCTAAGATGTATTTTTGAATCGATTATTGGTGGATTAATGCTTGAACAACCAGAAAAACCTATAAACTATATTAAAAAACGTTTAATTGATACAAAGCATATTATAGAAACTGGTAGATTACATAATGAATTATATATATGGCCATATCATCCAATACTTAATCAATGCAAGTCTATAATAAATGATGAAAATTATAAATATCTTAAAAATCATTTTTATTATCATTTAAAATATTTACAAGATGAAAATAAACCACTTGAAGTTGTTCAAATTGATAAACCATTATTTTCTTTAACTGAACTCTAATTTAAACCATTAAAATATCTATGTAGTACATTGGAATTAGACAATACATTCTCTCTTATATGATTATCTATTTTTGTCTAATTCCAATGTCTTTGAACGATTTTCTCTAGTATCTTCTATATGTTATAAATTAGCTATTTCATGTATTATTAATTTGAAATAATTACAAGGGATATCTAGTTATATAGTTAGCTAGATTGTTTCTAGTCAGATGGCCTATTAAAACAACAACAATAACTGGGAATTCAAGCTTATTGATAAAAAACAACCATAAAATAGGAGAAATAAGTTTTTAAAGAAAAAAAAAGGTGATTTATTTGAGTAAAAAACTAACTGTTGAAAGGTACTAGACAAGAAAGATAAGTTAATCAAGGATAGTAGAATTTTACTATATCTATTTATCTAGTTAAGTTCATCATCATCATAATCAACATAGGACGAGGCATTACCACTGCGTAACGGTCCGAGTTGCCACACTTCATATCAGCACATCAAGTAAAAAGGTAGTAAGGTGAAGGATGAAGATAAGTGAATGCAGTCAAAAGAAATATAAAGTACGAGAAGAAAGGAAAGAGGAGTGACAAAATGGTGAGATGAGGATAATGTGTGTATACATCTGCACCACTGTTTCGGTTATGAGCCATATCACCTAGGGTCTCCAACCACTGGTTCCTCTTGTCCCGTCGACCCCAAACACCTAGTCTGCATCGTCCTACATGGCTTAAACCAACAGTCAGAGACTTCATACATTGGTGCCATGTTTTAGTCTGGCCACCTCGAGCCTCTTTCCAGCCTGGACCCACCTCAGCCAACATTGTGTGACGAGGCAATCGGTGACTAGGCATACGTAGTACGTGTCCCAACCATCTCAGTCGATGAAGGTTCACAACCTCGTCGACTGACTTACCTCTTCTCCCCAAAACTCTACACCTAACTTCTGCATTACTCACATGGTGACACCACGGAATACGTCCTATACTACGAAGGCAACGGTGATCAAACACCTGAAGCCTTTTTATATCTTCCACTTTCAATGGCCATGTTTCATAGCCATACAGTAGAACAGAGCGGACTGCCGCGCAAGTGCAGTACACGCGACCCTTAATAGACAAACGAATATCACGGCGGCGCCATAGGTGGCGCAAATTGGCAAAAGCCAATCGAGCCTTTTGTATCCGTGCCGAAATCTCATCGGCAACTAACCCACCAGGGTTGATTCTACTTCCCAGGTAAGTGAAGTGGTCAACACACTCAACCACTTCACTCACTCTCTATTGTTAGCCGCGGTGGGGCACCGCTGAAGACCAGTCCTGGAGCAGAAATTTGCATTTGGGTGGTGAAAATCGCATCCCAAACATCTTAAAACTGACACTCAAAGTGTTCAGAAGACTCTGCATCTTGTCAGCGTCTTCACCTAACAGGACTATGTCATCTGCATATTCTAGATCTAAGGAAAATTCACCTGTGATTGGGTCAACGTCTGTGTAATAAGGTGACGAGAGGGAAACCTCCATAAGAATATCTATGATAAAATTAAATAAGAATGGGGATAGTGGGCATCCTTGACAGACACCACTTGGTGAGTATAGCTCCCTGGACAACTCGCCATAGGTTCTAACACACCCACAAGTGTTCGAGTAGAGAGCTTTCAATAAGGTGATGTACTTACTAGGCACGCCTTTCAGTGACAGACATTGCCATAAGACTTCTCGATCAACGGAGTCAAATGCCGCCTTCAGGTCGAGAAATACAGCTATTGTCGGGCGTCTGTAAGCATGCCTATGTTCCAGGACCTGGCGCAGTGTAAATATTTCGTCGATACATCCACGGCCAGTTAGTTTATAGTACAATCAATCTATCCCATCTTATTGTGTGTTATTGCTTACAGAATTATAATCGAGCTCTTTTATCTAAATTTCAACCCTGACCAATCGACTAATTTCACTCACTTATGTATTTCACCTCGAAATCATTGTAAGGGATTTGGTCGATCAAATTATTTTGGTTAATTGCATCGATAGGATTGCTTAACATATAAAGCTTGTTTGTAACCGAATTTTGGTGCTTAAAACGTCACTTTAATCTTAGTCAACTTATTTGAGAAATTTTCGTGATGCTTCTGAGATGCCTCCCTTGTATGGTAACACAGCATAGGCTTTGAATTCTCCACCAACTCCGTCAACGTTATTACCGCTATTATGAGAACGATCAATAATAACACGCGTATTACTACTACTACTACTACTACTACTACTACTACTACTACTACTACTACTACTACTACTACTACTACTACTACTACTACTACTACTACTACTAATGCAGTGGGCGTTGCTGATAACAACGGATATAAGTAGTATATATATCGAGAGGGTTGCTGGAATCATACGTAATTACCGGCAATGGGTAATGTTTCTGCCAAGAGCAACACAGGGGACAACACAGGCGTATTGCAGTAGATGCTGCTGATAAGAGTGTATGAAGAGCCAGTCAACAGCAAATCAAGACAGGAAGGGAGAGGAAACGAAGACATTTGCAAATGGCTGCGTTAGTGCAAGGAGTACCATATGTAACCACCACTATTTCTATTGTCGAATTGTCTGCTGCTACTTAAATTGGTGTGGCTGCCTTTGGGCGTGGTGTAACCCCGATGACCTGCAGGGTTCAAGGATGGAGACATCAAGGTCTTCCTCAGGCTGGTGGGAGTTCGAGATCCGGAGGCGAAGGTCGTGGTGCTGGGAACGTTGTTGCGGGGCAGAGCGAAAACACCATTTGACGGAGTGGAACGTGGTGACGGGAAGGAGAATGGTTCAGCTCCTGGAGGGGGAGTTTAAGAGCTCGGCGGACAGGGAGCAGGCGATGCAGCAGTTCCGCGGCGCGAGGCTGGGAATAGATGAAGATCCACTGGTGTTGACTGTGAAGTTGGCCAAACTACTTCGACGAGCGCTTCCCACGTTGGATGAGGATGTCCAACAACAGTTGCTGACTGCACAGTTCACTGAGAGAGTCCCGAATGCCACTGCCTACCAGTTACGACTAGTCAATGCAGCCCAGCCCATGGGCATTAGCGAGATGGCCAAGGTGACCAGACAGCTAATGGGTACAGGAGTAGCTGCAGTGGAGTCACCAGAGGTAAATAACTGGCAAGAACAAATCACCAACCTTCAGAAAGAGACAGCAGCACTGCGAATGAGCGTCAACAAACAGAGTAAATGCTTCGCAGGCGGGAAACCGGGACACTGGCGAAGGAATTGTCTGGAGAGGCGGAAAAGAAAACGTTTTGAACGATATAATATGAGTTCTGTTTTTCCGACTAGACTAGATATCGTAGGAGCCATAGATCGAGGCGCGGTGTATGCTAGATTGCGAATAAATGGTCGGGATATCGTGTTTCTCATAGATACAGGGGCGGCAGTCTCTCTAATAGATAAGAGGCAGTCTCACAACACAAGACCATGTGCGCTAACGGTCCATACGGTTGGGGGACATGCACTGGATATTGCGGGCTTGTCAGATTGCGTTGTTGAGATCAGGAGCCAGAAAATTAGATTCCCATTTATTGTGACCGCGCGCCTACAACGCCCAATCCTAGGTGCCGATTTTCTGAGAGAAGTGGGTGCAGTGATTAACACGAGAACAGGAATAGTGGCAACGAAGTACGGGTCGTTCAACACTCAGGAAAACAGCGAGGTAGCAGAGATTGAAGTACCAAAAGCACCGTACCCAGAAACGCCAAACATCATGAAGGTGGTTAAGAAATACGACAGATTGTTCACAGGAGATGGAGACCCCTATGGTTATTGTTTTTTTTTTTTTTTTGAAATCCCAGTGACCAGTCAGGTAACGACAACATTCATCACACGGCGAATACCATGTCACTTGGAACAAGAAGTTGGGCGCCAGGTTCAGGAAATGCTAGATGAAGGTATTATTGAAGAGGCTGACAGTCCATACAGTTCTCCAGTACTTTTAGTAAGAAAGTCAAATGGGAAATATAGATTCTGCGTGGACTTCCGGGAGTTAAATAGCATAACGCAGCTGAAGCCATGTGCCATGCCGACGATAGCGGAGACACTGGATCGTTTGCAGAATGCGAAAGTATTTACAGTTCTGGACCTCCGCTCGGGCTACTGGCAGCTACCAATAAAAGACAGTGATAAAGAGAAAACAGCATTTATTGTGGGCAAGAAGCAATACCAATTCAAGCGAATGCCATTTGGTCTGGCAGGGGCGCCCTTTACATTTAGACGATTGATGATGTTGTTGCTGAAGAATTTAGAGAACGTAGAGGTGTACGGCGATGACCTGGTGGTGTACAGCCAGACGGAGGCAGAACACATAGAATACCTTGAAGCTGTTTTGAGACGTATCGATGAGTTTGGACTCCGCATCAATAAGACAAAATCTCAAGTAGCCAAGAGGAGTGTTACGTTGCTAGGACACAAAGTTGGAAACGGCGAAATAAAACCACTACCCGAGAAAATTCTGACAGTCAGAACTATTCCAGTGCCGAATTCCAAGAGGAAACTGCGACAATTCTTGGGTAGAGCAGCATTCTACAGTCGGTTCCTCAAAAATTTCAATGAGATAGCAGCACCGTTATATAAGCTACTGGGCAACCCCAAATTTGTGTGGACGGAGGAGGCACAAAAAACATTTGATCACATCAAAGAACTCCTAAATGACCAGGAGATGACGTTAAAACTACCAATACCTGGTAGGCCATTTATCGTGTCCACCGATGCAAGTGATTATGGAATAGGGGCAGTCCTGAGACAGACTGAAGGAGTAGTGGAGTATGCCAGCCGCGTTCTAACACCCGCAGAACAGAAATATTCTACAATGGAAAAGGAATGTCTAGCGATAGTTTGGGCGCTGGAGAAGTGGAGATCGTACCTCCTCGGTCAACGATTCCATATTGAAACGGATCATAAACCTCTACAGTGGCTTAAGACAGCGAGAGACCCCAGAGGAAAATTATCACGTTGGGTGTTACGACTGCAAGAATATGACTTCACCATCGGCCATGTGGCAGGGAAAGAAAACTGGTTGGCAGACTTCTTATCAAGATCTGACGAAGAAAATGAGCTACCTGAGATCGCATACGGCGTACATGCAGTGGAATGGAACCCGTTAAGACTTATTCGCCTTCAGAAGTCGGACCCGACACTGAAAGAAGTGATCAAAGCCATAACTGAAGGGACAGAGACACAAACGTC